CTATACCGTTGTGTAAAATGGTGTGTATTTCCTCCCACAAACGCAATTGCTAACGTTTTTCCTCTTCCTCTTTTCTTTTTTGTTGAGATTCAAATGTTGCATGAGTAGAGCATGACAATATGTTGTTTTCCTGTTCAGCTTTTGGAAATAAATCCTACCAGACAGAGATTGACTTGTTTGCTCTTGCTATTCTGCAGTTACCATGACAATGCATTTCTTACCTCGCGCGCATTACATGTTGTCAATAAGTTGAATGCTTCTGCCACGTACAAGCTACTGGAGTCTTTCTTTGATCATCAGGTAAGAGGACTTCTGTACTGAATATGTGGAACCTCAACTGCAGTCAATAACTCATGTTAAAAACCATTGTTCTAAATGAAGAGATACATGCACCTCTCATTTTTCCGTCTATGTCCATGTTTGTTTTTGCCTTGACAGTTAATGTTCTTTGTGATTTAATTTTCAAGATGAAAGTGTATGTTGCTGATTTCCTTTCTCTTTTCCCCTAATATACTTGTTGCTCTATTGTATGCTTTAGCGCGTTGCTTCAAAAGTCCTACTCCTTTAGCTTATATTCCTCCTTTCCAATTACTTGCTATCATTATGGACTTCTTATTCTAGTTTATAAGATACTTTGAGGTGTCTATAGGCTATGTAAAATGATGTTTTTGGAACCTTACAACTAGGTAACTTTCAATTTATGGCTTCATAGCATCTTCCTTCTACTTTAAACAACATTGACATCATTAGTTGTGCGGCCTATTATGTTCCTGGTAATTTACCTCAAAGAGTAGGTCCTCTATCACTCAAGTTCCCTTCAACTGTTAATCTGTAGTTGGAGTGCTTTTAGTCAAGAAAATTTATTGCACACTTCTTCAAAAGAAAGCATTGCAATTTGCAAAATGTTCAAATTCCGAAAATTGGAGAATTTTGTTTGATGGTTATGACTTGTTATTACTTAATTTCTTTTCCTCCTCGTCATTCCCCCACCCCCTGGTGGAAGAAAATCCCGAGAAGATGAAAGAGAGAAAAATAACCTCTTAATTCAGGCATAGAAGCTAGCTAATCAGTTTATAGTGAACAAAAACCTCTTAGTTCTGTAGTTAAAGCTTTGTCAAAGCAAAGTAGTGAACCTAAAACCTTTTCGTTATTTGATTAAAGCTTTGTCAAGGCAGAGTGAAAGGCAAGTGAAAACGGACAAAAAAAAAGAAGCTACTATAACATTTCAAAAATGGGACCGCACCCGTTTGGCCATGAAATGTTACCTTCATATTAGTTCAACATATTTTTTGCCTATACTAGTCTGGCCATATTTGTGAATATTGGACTTCAGTATTTGAGCTTGCTCCAAGTGAAATATTGACATTCTGGAAGGTTATTTCAAGTGAAATACTAGTTTCCTCTCATAAATCTTCAATTTTCACAACTTTTATTCCAAATGAAGTTCATGTGCAAACACAACTGAATCACAAACTTATTTTCAACTAGAAATTCAAATTCTCCTTTTCAACTTCAATTCAAATATTGTCCAAACGCCTATGAAATGTCACTACTTTTTCAGAAATTGGTGAGCTACAAGATGTGCACGAGTGTTAATGATTTGAAGCAACAAAAGAACCTAGAAAAACATGGCTGATCATGAACCACAGATTAGTCAACTGATTGAATGTCCAAAATTGTTAATTACAGACATTTTAAATGTATTTGAGTACTTGATTTTAAGGTGCATTGTTGAACAGGCAGAGTTTTACAACAAAGCGACTTTCGCCTTGTCTAGAGCATCTGTTGTAGAAAAGGTTGCAAGGTTTTCAACTAATACAATTGGGAATTCGAATTATGATGTGATTAAGGCTGGCTTTACTGACTACAAAACTGATCAGGCCACAAGATTTTCCTTCAAGGTAACTTATCCTTAATTATTACTTATGCCAAGCGCCTTATCTTTCTTCCCTTTTACTTTTTGAGCTGATTTCTTTATGTTTTTTCACAGTATGGCTGTGTGAAAGGTGTGTATGGAACTCCCTTTTTCTTTGTAAATGGGTTTCCACTTCCAGACGCTGGCTCAGCACTGGACTACAAAGGGTGGAGACGTGTCCTCGACCCATTGGTTCACCAGCAGGACACGGAGGAATGACCTTTTGCATTTCTTCTTGTGAATCACAGATCTTTAAATATCTTTGCATCTATCTCGATCGTTAGATTACTAAGAAAGACGAATTTGTATCTTGTTTATTATAAAGCGGTTGTTAACGTAGTTTTCTAGCTAAAGTGATTTAAGTATGAGTATTTCTATACAGTTACTGATAATGGATTGTGAACTCTATTTAGCTAATGTTGTTGATATGGTAGATGAGCTCGGAACCCGCATGTTTTTTTTTTCTTTTTCTCAAAGGTCCATCATACTGACGGTGGAGTTAGGCATGACTCCCACATGTATATACCAAAAATAATAATTACACGAAGGAGGACATAACCCTTTGCCTCATAAACATAGTGTAGATTGGTACGCACCAATCTAGTGTAGAGATGTTCAAAAGAGATCAATCTGGGAATGGAACGCTCTTCCTTAAAGTTTGATACTAAATGTAAATAGGTACATATGACCCCACCTATTGATCTATTATGTAATAGCATCATTGATAGTGATGTGATTTCTTCTTGGCCTGAATCCGAAATTTGGAAGGCCCTCTTGGTCTAACTTCAAAGTAGCTCTAACCTTACTGGGAAGAGAAACAGCTTCTGTGAAGATAGCTTGCGTCATGGTGTTCTCACCCATATTTGCTAGCTGATCAGCAATGACATTTCCTTCTCTGAAAATATGAACAAAGGTAAACTCTCCATTTTTTGCTATATCCCAGAATTGTTCAACCAAATGAAAAACTTGCCATGATGGTTTCATCTTCTTGTTGATCATATTGACAATCACCAATGAGTTCGATTCCACTATCACTTTTAAATGACCATTAGTACAACATAAATTGATGCCTTGCAAGACTGCCTTAGCTTCAGCTATGTTATTACTACCCAGGCCATAGAAGTCAACAAATGCAATCACTAGATTACCAAGGTGATCTCTAAGGACACCACCCCCTTCTGTTGCCCCAGGATTTCCTTTACTACACTCATTGACATTCAACTTCATCCAACCTTTCTCAGGTTTCTCCCACTTTACTGATCTGGAAAGAATTGTTTGTTGAGCCCTCTCAACACTCTTGCATTTATCAAACCATAACTTAGGAAGTCGGAGACTAGGAAATTGAGTACTAAGAATCATAGTACACCAGTTAGTCACCTGTTGAATAACATGCCGACCAGACATGTGCTTATTTTCAAATTTAGCTGCACATTTATCCTTCCATAACTCCCAGCATATCAATGAAGGTAAACATTGGAATAGCAGAGATTGAATCTCATTTCTAGTCTAGTTTAACCACCATCTCATGACAATTTGTCTTAACTGTCCAAGTGTAAGGCTAATGCCACAAGCTTTGTCGAAATAAGTCCATACCTGCCTAGCAATTTGACTACAACTAAATAAGTGTGTGATTTCCTCCTCATTATTATTACAGCAACAACACTTGGAAGGAAACATATAACCACACTTCTTTACTGCATCATCTATTGGGATCCTTGAGTCCAATAATCTCATCATAAAAAATGAGATCTTAAAATGGAATGTTCTTATGCCAAATCTTTTTACTAGTAAGAGTCTCCTATTTGCATGCCACGCAAATTTGCAAGTGAAATATCCAGAGTTTTCTGGAGTCCAGATAGGTTTATCGTCCTTACATTCATGTATTTGAATTCCAATCACTGAATTGATTATACCGATAGGCAGAACCTCTAGCAGCTTCTCATAATTTCATGCTCCTCCCTGGATGAACTCATGCACCTTAATGTTCTTTGATGCTCTAACAACTGGACACATACGGGCTAGACTCCCTAATCCAGTCCAATTGTCCCACCAAAATGCCACCAATTTTCTAGAGAATACAAGGTTCAACTACTTTTTTGATCTCATCATCCTCTTTAACGTGTGAGATTGGCCATTGGCCCATTGTTTAGCCACAGGGTGCGCTCTTTTATAATATTTAGCCCACAAATTCTAGGAACTAAGTTTGATTCAAATGTCAACTTAATGTTGTCAACTTAATGTTTCCTTGCATCAATCCTTTTTTGATCAATTTATGGCCTAACTTTTGGAGGCGCATCTAGGATTTGATCTCTATAGGTTTAACCTTCAATATTTTTAGGATTGAACCTATTGTATTTTTTAAGTTATGAGTTCATATTTATTAATTTTTATAGTTTTGGTGGATTTTTACACATAAATATATGTTTCGCGTCGAAAGTACTAGGTTCAGTTGAACTCTGCATCCGCCCTGCTAGGGATTATAAAATTATGTGATTGCACGTCTAACGAACGGTACTAAAACAACTCTTGAATAGTCCTTTTATATTTCTTGAATGCAGTAGACATTTTCTTCCCCATTAGAATATTGGTTTTGATTAATATCGTATACTTGGTTTTGTTTTCACTATTTCCAAACTTAAACGTGAACCCCATAATTTTTTCCAACTTGTAACAACTTTTGAACAACAAACAGAGGGGGGAAATGAGAAGAAAGGGGACCTTGAAGTTTGAGAACATATGATGCAAAGGTTTAACGATTCCCATTTGAATGAAAATATTTGGAGAAGTTCTCTAAACACAGAAAACAAATGCATCTGTTCTTTAAAAATAAAAATCAAATAGTCTTTCACGAACCAAAAAAAATATACTTTAAATATCTCAATTTACTCTTAATGACTTACTAAAGCAACACAAATATTATACTACTAATGTTTCTTAAGGTTATAAATTTTAAAAGTTAATATATTTCTTTACAGAAGGAAAACAAAATGGAAAAGGAAAAAGGAAAAGAAGAAAACCCAAGTAAAACCGATTAGACCGGTTGAATGCAGTTAGGGCAGCTAAGAAACCGGGAGTATAAATAATCCCCCAAGTTCGCTGTAAACGGTCAGGGGGCGTAACAAAGCCGAACAAGACTGCTCTTCCTTCGCCAAAGAACAACTCCTACTATCTTATCCTTATTCTCAACAACTGAAAGGTATATTTCAGATCCCATTTCTCAACCCTAGCTTCCATTTTACACTCCTAACAAATCCAAATTTGTCTTCTTTCTTCTGAAATAGTAGTAATTTCTTTTTTGGATTTTGACTTGATTTGTTGTTATTAATAATAGATGGATCGGTACCAGAAGGTAGAAAAGCCAAGAGTAGAAACACCCATTGATGCAAATGAGATTCGTATCACCAGCCAAGGCCGCATGAGAAGCTATATTACCTACGCTATGACCTTGCTTCAGGTTTAAAATCCTTTTCCTTTTTAAGACAAAAATATTTATCGTATTATCATTATGCTTGTGGCGTTGCTTACCATGCTGCTGTGTTGGGTTCTTTTGTTTTTGTTTTTTCATAATGTGGTTTCATATTAAAAGTCAAATTATTAATTATTGAAATGAAATGCGTTTTCATAATCTCCAATTCTCCATATAATCTATTTTTTCGTAATGTGGTTTTCATAGTGTGGCCTAGAAATGTGCCTGCCTGCTTCAGGTGTTTCTTTGATAAAAATCTTATCTTTTTTTGTCTTAATCAAACTATTATGCTAGTTTTTTTCCTTATCATGCTTCTATGTTTGGGCTCTTAATGTACTTTTTGTTTATCTTCATATTAATGAGGGTTTCGTATTAAAGTACAATTATTAAGTATTGGAATGAAATGGGTTTTCATAATCTTTCTTATAAATCTTCGTAATGTGGTTTTCATTTTGCGGTCTTAAAATGATCCAGCTTCAGGTGTTTCTGTGATTGTGCTCTTAATGTTGTTCTTTATAATGCTGGTTTCATTCTAGAAGATAAGTTATTAAGTTTTGGAATGAAATGGGTTTTATAATCTTTTGTTATCTATATTATAAATTTTCATAATGTTGGTTTCAGTTACGGTCTTGAAATGCGCCTGCATCTCTGATAAAAATCTTATTATTTGCTATCTATTGTATAATTCTGCTAGTGTTCTAATGTTTCCATGCTTCTATGTTTGCACTCTCGATTTATTTATTTTTATAAATTTCAAAATGTGGGTGTCATTTATGGTCTTGCATAACCTTGATATGAACTTGCTTGGGGCGTTTTTCTGATAAAAATCTTGTCTTTTTGCTCTTTATGGTATCTTCAACTAGTGTTCCTAGCTTTCCATGCTTCTGTTTGTGCTCTGTTAATTATCTTTTTTTTAGTTTATATAATACAGCTTTTAAGCCCCCAGGGCGTTGGTTTAGTGGTAAAATTGGAACATGTGATGTGTGGATTAGACAAACNCATCATCCACCTAGTTCGCATTGTCCCTCCGAGATTTCTTAGTTATAATAGGAATGCGGCTTTTATTATTTGCTCTTAAAATGAGCATGCTTCCAGTTTCGTTGATAAATTTCTTACTTTTTTACTCTTTATTGTGTACTTTGATTAGTGTTCCTAGCTTTCCTTGTTTCTGTAATGTGGGTTTCAGTGTGGTCTTGAAATGAGCCTGCTGCAATTTTTTTCTCTAAAAAAATCTTAATGTTTACTCTTTGTTATATAAGTCTGTTCTAGCTTTCCAGCTTCTTTTGGTGTTAGGCTAGCAGCAGTCAGTTTACATGGTTGATAGGTTAGTTTGTATAGATTTGGTTGTCCATTTGTTGATGTCTCTAGCTTCTGAGTTATCTAGTTATCCTAAGGTCCAGTATGTCAGTTTCTCGAAATACCAAGAAAAGAAAATCATGAATTTCTCCAATTAGTTTGCTGAAGAGTGAATATATTGCTAAAGCCTTATAGAAACAGTGCTTACCCATCAAATAAAAAAAGAAAGAAGAAACAATGCTTCTGCCCATCAATTTCAAAAAGGAAAAAATTAACACTACCAGGCGTCCCCAAAAAAAAGGAAAAGGAAAAGGAAGAGAAAGAAGCACTTTTAAATCTGGAGCAGTATTAGTTTGGTGAAAACTACATTACCAAGGGACTGCTGGATTTTGGTGAGTGAGGTTTTATTTCCATACTAAGAACTTTATGTTAGATTGTGGTGGGTGAGGTTATTGTCCCATACTGAGTACTTTGCCCTATGGGTATGGGAAGCTAAAAACTGTTCTGCAACAGAAAACCGACTCTTAACTGACTGAAAAAACTGACATGTTCTTTACGTTGATACGGTTTGGAGTTTGGACTTTGATGTTAGCATTAGAAGAATCTATCCCCCTCCTCGTGAATATAGCCTATTAAATTTTTGGTCTCTACCAGAGATTTACCTTTTAAAGGAAACTTCAGTAAGATGCCTCATACTCTTAAGGTAAACTAAATTCAGAACTAATATGTTCTCGACATTAATTTGCTTCTCACTAGTCGTGTAACACTAGCATTTTGTGTTTCTTCTTCTTTTAACAAGTTTATTCAGTTTTAAATCTTGCTCTATCTCCAATACTACCTAGAATCTTCACAAAATAGATGCAAGGGCGCACATTCTTAGCAGAAAAGTTAACCAAAGTCCAAAAAGTACTTAGCAGTGATAAAAAGGAAATAATGAACAACAAAATCAGAATAAACGAAACCGTTAAAACTTGTCAATATTTTTTGTTTCATTTGGTTTATGCAGTTAGCAAACCGACTTGGTGCATGTTTGATTTTTTTAAAGAAAAAACTGACTCATTTGAACCATGAATACCCCTTCTTTGACCTTTCATTTCTAGATGGATTACCAGGAAGATATTGCCTTATTGCTGATTCCTTTTCTTTCCCCTTTTGCTTTTGGAAAAGGGGCATGGGAAATAGCATCAACCTTAAAATGTTTAAAAGCTAATTAGCTTTCTACACCTTGCATATTGCTGCATAATTTGCATGAGATTTTTTTAATATCTCTATTGACAATGTGATTCATGTGTACTGCTCTTTTATGATACTTGATGTTCTTACTTTCGATGCAAAATCTGCAGGAAAACACATCAGATGAGATTGTGTTCAAGGCCATGGGCAGGGCAATTAACAAGACTGTGACAATTGTGGAATTGATTAAGGTAGACAATACTTACTTTTTCCTTTGTAGTCCATTTGATGGTTGCATATTAGATCTCTAATAGACCTCTGGATTCGATCGCATGGTTCCAATGCAGAGGAGAATTGTTGGTCTTCACCAAATTACTTCTATTACATCCACAGACATTACTGATACATGGGAACCCCTTGAGGAAGGCCTCCTGCCGTAAGAGGATCTTACTGAAACTATGCATTGGAGCTTTTGTCTTATTCTCTACTGCCTTAACCATTCCCTCATTTAACACAATTATATCCGTACATGTTTTTTTTGTGCTGCAGTCTTGAAACAACCAGGCATGTCTCAATGATTACAATGACTCTTTCTAAAAAGGAGCTGGATAAGAATAATATCGGGTGAGGTTCTTAATTTTTCAATTATTCCCGGACTTTGCATCTTCGACTTCTATTCCATTTTCCTGGCAAAGAAGCAGTATTTCTGAAGAACTTAAGCACGTTCATATAGAAATTATCTGCCTACTTTCTAGTTATCTTCAGTTTTACCTACCGTGTCACATTTTCTGTTCTGAATAGGCCAGTTCTTGAGTATTTTCTGAGCCATAAATATCTCTTTCTTTATTAAATCTGCGCATTGTATAAGCATAAAAACGTGTTGTGAAACTTTTTACATTTAGACCAATTGCTAATTGGCTTACAAAATTTGTGTCATACTATGCTCTGTGCTGGCAGGTACCAACCTCCAATTCCAGCTGACCAGGTGAAGGTGTCCACAGACATTGACTATGAAGGAGGTTTGTTGTATTGTACAAATGAATAAGAATTTGGTTACACGTGAAACAAAATGGAATTTATTTGGTAATATATGATCTTTAGATGGGTCACCCAATGGTCGAGGAAGAGGTCGTGGTGGTAGAGGAAGGGGAAGGTCTAGAGGTTATTCAGGTACGAATGTTCGTTAAGCTTTATTGTTGTAAAAACTCTGCTGATATGTAAATTTACGCTCACATGTCAGGGCAACTTCTCTGCGAACACCACATGTTTGATTCTATTGAGGCATTGGTTGTTCACTGGTTGTGCAAGTCTTTCTTTTGGGATATATGGAATTGAGTGTATGCATGTTTCTTAATCAGTAATGTGTATATGCTCTCTTTACGTGCAACTGAATTGTTAAGTGTCTTAACTAGCCTTTCAATTTTCTTGAAGTTGATCTCGAGTTTGTTTATGAAATGATGTATGTACTAAATAAATGCTGCCAAATTCTCAAGTCGTAAAGTTGGGAGCAATTGTGCAAAGAAATAATCTTAGTTCATAAATGGCTTGTAGGGGAGAAACCATGTTGTGTCTATTGTAATAGCTTTTTTCATAGTTCAGAAATGTCTACATATCCTTGAGCCGGGGTTTGTTGGAAACAACCTCTCTACCTTCAAGGTAAGGGAAAGGTCTGCGTACATACTACCCTCCCCACAACCCATTTGTGGGAATATACTGGGCTTCTTGTTGTTGTAGAAATCTTTACAAAACCATGATATTGATTCAAAATGTGATGCATTTTTTTGTGCTATCCTAATAATTTGTTTCACCAAAAACCTGAATGCCCCACAAAGTGGGTGATGATTGATGTGGAGTACTCTGTCCCCTCTCTATGTTCAAATATGTTTTACATAAATGTGAACTGAGGATGGTTATTTATGACATTCTGGCTGCATCTTATTCAGGAAATGGCTTTATGCCTGCGGAGTATGATGATGGAGGGTATGATCGGAATCGGAGCTACGGCAGGGGCAGGGGTCGAGGCAGGGGTCGGAACTTCCGTGGGCGTGGCAGGGGAGGGTACGGTGGTGCTCTGGACACTCAGCAAGATGCTGGTGGCTACATCCAAGAAGCACCTGGTCGGAACTTCCGTGGGCGTGGAAGGGGAGGGTACGGTGGTGCTCTGGACACTCAGCAAGATGCTGGTGGCTACATCCAAGAAGCTCCAGGTCGGAACTTCCGTGGGCGTGGAAGGGGAGGGTATGGTGGTGCTCTGGACACTCAGCAAGATGCTGGTGGCTACATCCAAGAAGCTCCAGGTCGGAACTTCCGTGGGCGTGGAAGGGGAGGGTATGGTGGTGCTCTGGACACTCAGCAAGATGCTGGTGGCTACATCCAAGAAGCACCTGTTCAGGGCCGAGGTAAGGTGTCGATGCCTTTGCATAGTTGTATGTTCCTCTGAGTAATTCAAATAACTCCTCTAAGACATTTCTAATGTTGGTTCACTCTTCCCTTCTAAAATTTAACAACCTTTGTGTTCATGCTTATAAATTTCCCCGGCTTGTTTGGTTTTGCCCTCTAATGGAGTTGTGTTTAAGTGCAATAAGCTTCCAGTTGTAGAGAGTTGCTCAGAGTATAGTATGGTATAGAATGTGGACAGAAGAGATGATAATCATATTTTTAAACCCACCCGCCCCCTCTTCAAATTTAAAAACTCATCATCTCACTGGAGTAGTGTAAGAAACTGTGAGTAGACAGACTAAGAAAATGCTACTCTAACAAGTGGAAGGTTAACTAGTTGTTATTGCTGTAATTTATTGATCTCATGCTTCCTCTTCCTAAGGATTTATTTTGTTGTAGGCCGTGGACGTGGCAGGGGACCTCGTGGCAGGGGACGTGGATTCAGACCTAATGGACCGCCAATCCATGTTGCTGCGTAGATGGTCAAACTTGGAAGCAACACAGAGATTATGTTCTATGAGTGCCTGCTCCGTTTTCAACGTATTTCTTTCATTTGTTCGTATTAACTTTAGGTTATTTTGACAATGTAATCAGTGTAGACTAGTATTAGAACTTGTTACCAGTTACCACCCACCTTGTGGTGAGCATTTTTGTTTTCCTTAAGATCTTTCATGTTTTTTCTAGTAGGGTTAGGTGCTTGATCAAGTGTAATTTCAGTAGCGAGCAGCACATTCTTTTATAAGTTTTTCAGGTATTCAGTGTTGACTGCATTCCCATGTACTGCCAATAATACCCTGTTTACTGTATCTGCTTCTTACAGCCATCAGTTTTTATTATCTTCTCAATTTTTGCTGCATGGCAATTGAGATAAGTCAGGTGTTTAACAAATATGTCCCATCAATGTAAAAAGTTATTAGAATACTGTTTTTTTTTTTTTTTTTTTTTTTTTTTGGGATATTTCTCAAAACAAAAATCATAACAGACAACCTTTTACTTTGCAGAATTATCTATCAGCAGTTCGCGTTGTTAATTTCAGTTACATCATATAACATTATAAAATTATTCCTAAACAACCTGCATGATATCAATAGTTTTTTTTTTTTGCAAAACTAATATAAACACAGTAACAAGAATTACAATGTAATTGTAAAATTTAATAAGTGGCATAAGATAAAAGGGAGCTATAGAAAAAGTTTTAACATGATAATGAGAGAAAAAGTAACCTATAAAGAAGAGTCAAACTGATACAAATTTTCAAAAGGTTGTGGGTCAATGTAGAAGAAAGTTTAGTTTAGCTTTAGTAGGCGTTTGGATATAAGAATCTGTAAAATTTGAAAAAATGGTGAAAAACTTTTTCACTTGAGAATGATATTTGAAATTTAGAGTTGTGTTTGGACATAAATTTCAGTTTGATTTGTTTTTGAAGTTTTGTGAGTGATTTGAGTGAAAATTTTGGAAAACAGTTTTTTGCAGTTTTTTAAATTTTCAAAAGTTTTCAAAATGCATCTTCAAGTGGGAAATTTTATGAATAAATGCTGATTTCGAATAAAATAATTTTTTTTCATTTCCACCAAATTTTATGTCCAAACGAGCTCTTAGTTTATTTAAAACGACAAAAAGTAACCCATCTATCTATTGAGAAAGTAACCTATATTTCTTTTGTCTTTTGTAACCAAAATATATGATTATTAATTTTAGAAAACTCTTTTAACGTGGGAGAACATGGCTGGTTACTTAGGTTCCAAGAACCTCAGGAGATTATTCGTGGTGTCGGAATTATAATATTATTACATCATGACACTTGTCAATGGCGGCTGACATCAAGATTCACTAGGGGGTCCAATTGCTGAAGTATGTGCCTATGTCATTCATCTTCCTTTGGACCATTTTAATCATTGCCTAAAGCTCATAGCCTTAAATATATTATTATCAGATTTCCCTTTCCTTTAATGAAGGAGACTAACTCAAAAGCATAGAGTGGAAGAAGAGGTTCAGAGAAAAAAATGGAGACAGAAGAGAACATTGTAATTGTGGGTGCTGGCATAGCTGGTCTTGCTACTTGTTTGGCACTTCACAGGTAAGAATATACTCTACCAAAACTTACCAATATATATTACTGCATAAGTATGTTGAGTTTTGGGACTTGTTTGACGACCACAGATCTAGCATATAAGCTACGAGTGCACATTAACTCATTGCCATATGTAAAAGGGGCTTAGACAAATTTAAAACTCTGTGTATATATTGAGAGGTGTATTCACTACCTTCAAAAGCTTGATCCACCAGTAGCAAAATGTCACTGCATATGTTTGTTGAGTTGAGAGCTCTTTAGTTAGTGTTGTGTCTATATAGTGGCGGATAAGAATGGATGTTGGGCCTAACTCAAACCCAAAAGTTAGATGAAAGGAGGAGGAGTACCCAAGCCATATAAAGAGTCCAAGTAACCCATCCATCTCGGATATGGGATTCCATCAAAACCCTTTGGTACAACAAAAATATTTTTCTTGTGTCTATACCGAGGTGTTTGATGAATTGCGTAAATGCTTTTTTATGTAGGGTGGGGCTGCGGAGTATTGTCTTGGAAATATCAGATTCGTTGCGAGCTACTGGATTTGCACTGTTATTGTGGACTAACGCCTGGAAAGCTTTGGATGCACTTGGCATTGGAGACTCTCTTAGACAAATTTCCTTATCCATTACTGGGTAAGAGTTTCCCTTTATATTTAAATCTTATGAGATATCTGATTGAATTCACCATAATCCGATAGCATTAGGCCCATAAGGATCGGTTTCTAAATTGGTTTTTTGAAAAATTAATTTAGGTTGGTCTCAGAAGAAAACAATTATACCTGATTGGGGTTAGTCATAGAAGAACTGGTTTGCGAAAGTGTTGTCTTTTAGATTTCAGTCAAAACCTTTTGGAAAAATATAACTGAAATCCTAACTTTATAGCGATTTCATATGGTTAAAATTAGCAGGAAATCAACTAAACACCTTTATTTAGTACAGTAATAAATTTATTTCCGGATAGCTGAAAAGCAAAAGAAATTGTCTCTATATCCATATATATTGAATGTGGAAACTTAAACATAGATATCATACACCATTCCTTGAGCTAAGGGTCTATCGGAAATAACTTCTCTACCTTCACAAGGTAGGGATAAAGTCTGTGTGCACATTACCCTCCCAGACTACACTGGATTTTTTTTTTTTTGTTGTTGTGGATATCAGAAACCAAACGCATAATCAGGGCTGATGTTGCAAAATCCAAACCCCATTGTTTTGGGCTTAAACACCCCAGAGACATTGATTTGGTTGGTTTGGTATTAGAACATTTCTAAACCAAAAACGGCAAGGGGTTTATTTGCTGATCTTGTTAGTCGCTCTTCCAGTCCTCATTATTATTGTTGTTGTTTGTTGTCACTGTCATTTTCCTTGTTGTTTCCGTTGTCATCGCTGTTGTACAATCACATAAACACTCTAACAATATCTTATCCTATAGCAAAATGCATTCGTTTAGATCCAGGTATCTCCTTAATTAGTAAAAGCCCATCCTCGATCAGTCCCTCGTAAGCTGTATTCACACAACTAAATATGCTATTCTTTGATTGTCCAAATTGCTAGAGATTTCTTGTGTTTTACTCTTCATCAAGTATCAACCATTGCTGCAGGGTTAAAAGTTTCTCTGCGGATTCAGGAGCACCTATTAAGGAGGTATCATTTGTGGACAATAACCGGTAAATATTCTATGCTTAACTGAAAGAATTATTTGTATAGTTGTTCAATCAATTAATCAACTATCCATCAATCTCATATTAGATGGGGTCGGTTATATTAATCCTTTTATGCATCACCTCTATTTAGGTTCATTTTGTTCTAACACTAGATAATCTAGGTTTTAGGACAAATTAGAAATCCTCTAAAATAGTATCAAATCACATAGACATACAAATCTCTAACTATGATAAAAAATTTACTCACAAACACCGAACTAATGTAAGTATAACAAGAAAAACTAATGTATTTAATCTCCACATACTATCATATAAGCCTTGACGATCTCACGACATCTTTGGACAGAACAATCACATCTGTCACAAAGGTCTTAAGTATGAATAAGACGCATCGCGTATTCAGGGAATGCTGCTTACCAATTGTCTGATTGTTCTTTGGTGAAGTGATTTGGTTCATTGTCCTAATCCCTATGATAACGATAAAGAAAGTTCATCTTGATCTTTGTTTCTCTTGGTTGGTAACGTGTTTCTTAGATCAATTTGTTGAGTTGAGTGTGCCTTTTTTCAACTAATGGATGGACTGATTCCTCAGCCAAATTTCTGTTCTTGAAGTCAGTAGAAAGTCATCTAAGGAGACTTGTATCATGTTTCAGTATAGATTATGAAAGTCGTTGCGTGAGAAGGAAAGACCTGTTGGAGAAATTAGAGAATGAAGTGCCTCAAGGCGTTATTAGATATTCTTCCAAGGTTGTTTCCATTGAAGAATCTGGACCAATGAAAGTGGTACATCTTGCAGATGGTTCCATTATTAGAACTAAGGTAAATCTTTCTGTGGAATCTTTCGCTTATGGTCCAAGATTGCTTTTTCTTCAACCTTGGAATCCCTATTACTTATTGAAGCTTCAAATATATAATTCCTTCCCTAAGTCTGATATGACTAACTATGATAAGTTTCAATTAAGGCCTTAATTGGGTGTGATGGAGTAAATTCTGTGGTGGCAAACTGGCTTGGGCTTCAGAAGCCTGTCAATTCTGGGCGGTCTGCAATTAGAGGCTTTGTTGAATATCCCGACAAACATGGTTATCAGCCTAAGTTCCATGCATTTTTTGGAGGTGGAGCTCGGTTTGGCTTTCTTCCTAGTGATGAGAAGAGTTTGTATTGGTTTTGCACATTCACACCATCTGTTGTCCATTGTAAGCAATGCTCATACATACTGTTATTTTGCAAACAGATTATTCCAATTTAGTGGCTTTAACAGCTTGTGGTTCTCATTACAGTATATCAATCTGAACATGTTTAATTGTTCCTTTTAATTGGACTGCAGTTGATGGAAATGCAGAACAAGATCCAATTAAACTGAAGCAATTTGTGTTGAACAAGGCCAGTAATATGTCTAAAGAACTCTCCGCCGTTGTAGAGAGAACAACGCTAGACTCTATATCTTGTGCTCAGCTGAAATTGAGATTGCCTTGGAATGTTTTGACGGGGAATATTTTGAAGAATAATGTTTGCGTAGTAGGTGATGCACTTCATCCCATGACTCCAGACCTTGGTCAAGGTGGATGTTCTGCCTTAGAAGACAGTGTTGTTATTGCAAAATGCCTCGGGGAAGCTTTGGTGAAACCGATAAAGGATCGAGGAGTTGGACAAGAAGATGAGGACGAATTTAATAAGATCAAAAAAGGACTTGAGAAGTATGCTAAAGAGAGGAGATGGAGAAGTTTTACATTCATCAGTGCTGCTTATTTATCTGGTTTTATACAAGAGAGTGGTAGCAAAGTAATCAGTTTCTTAAGAGAACGTTTTTTGGCTGGAGTCACTATAGCAGTTACACTCAGAATGGCTAACTACGATTGTGGAAAACTCACTGTTTCTTGAAGTGTATGTCCGTCCATACATCTCAAAACTGTTGAACTGAAGAAAGAAAGAGGTGCCAACATTGGTGAAGTTACATACACCGCGTATACTTACGTGTGCGTTTGGCCACAACAGCCACAACAACTCACTATTGTAAAACACCATAAACCACTTTATAACCTACTCAAAAATACCATGTAAATATGCTGTCACATTTGGTTTCAGAACGACCAAGGAGCAGTAGAAAAAAGCCTAAAGTTCTATATACTTTGAGTTCTATTTAAACTTTATCTATATTTATATCTATATCTATCTATCTATATTATTATAAAAGCACGAATAATTTATGTTAAATGTTAGATGATTAAAATATCTTCGAAACTTTGATAGGCTTTTATACCCTTAATATATTGAGTTAAAGGTAGATATAATTGTAATATTCCAAATATATTACCCAAGAATAAAATTCTTTCAAGATTAAAACTCCACATATGACTGATAACAAATTCCTACTCTACCAATACCTAGAACTTTTAAAATAACTACAACTAGTAAAGTTGAAAATAATTATGAATTTGGATAAACTTACTATACTTGTCACGATAAACAACTTGAATAAAAACTAATATTAAATATTATTGCATTCTTTAACCGACTTATAAATTTATTCGTATCATTTTGTAATTTTAAACTATTTAGTTCCAATTTATCATTTGATTATCACAACATTATTATGATTTGGTTTGCATTACATATATATAACTTATATTTTAAGTAACTCATTGTCTAACTTTAACAATTACTTATTGTACGTCTTTGTAATATTTGAGCACGAGCATAGAGGCTAGTATATGAAAAGTCAAATTACGAAATTACCCTTAACTTTATTTTTTAATAAAACGTTACGCTTTCGCAAATTAGTAAATTACCCCTTCGCTATGGATTAGTTTGAAAAAAGAAATTATCTATCGGTTGCACCGATTGCTTCCCCTATCTTTAAAAATCAGACTCCATGCCAATTTTCCTCAGTCTTTGTTCTTCTCTTAAAACAACAGGTTTGGCATCTGAACACCTCTTTACCAAATTGTTATCTTTTTCCATTAGTCATCTTCTTCTTATATTTTCTCCCAAATCTACTTGCTTGTCAGAATTTAGGCGCCACTAATATTCACTCCATCGATTCCCTCGGCTAAATCCTAGGCCATATCTGCCTCTCGCAAAGTCGAGTTGTAAGTTGGTTGTCAATTTTACAACTGATTTTCTTATACCTGGCCAATGTTAATTTTGAGATGACTAGCGTTTAATTTGGTTTTATTTTCACGGTTTTCGCCCTTACTTTTCTATTTTCTATTTTTTGTTGAGGTTTTTTATTTAAGATGAAATAGTCTTAAAATGAGGATGAATTGGGAAATGGAGTGAAAAATAAAATTTTTAAGTAAAATTTTAAGTTTTTCCCTCTCGACAATGAGACATTGTCCCATATCGGAAGAGGAAAAGATTTTTGGTGGGTATATATATAATTGCTCTTCTTGTAGCTCTTAAATAGTTAAGAAGAAAGCAAGTCTCGCGCCGCCGTCGTCGCTCGGCTCGGCTTCGGCTTCGGCTTCGGTCAAATGATTGATTAATTGATTAATTTTTTGGACCAAATTTATTTGT